TCCAATACATGACAAAGAAAGTGAACCCCATCCGATGGAAAACATCGTTTTTGTCTGGAACAATTTCAATCAAAACAACCCTAATAAGTTTGAAATGCCTCTTGATATCAGTATCAACGATGATAGCACCTTACCGGCGGAATTGCAAAGAAATTACGATGCCGAAATTGTTGATGATAATGAGAGCATGAATCTCTCGCCGAGTCAAGCTATTGGACGGAAAGTATTTAAATGTCCACATTGTCCATTTTTCTCCACCACAGCGTCGAGATTCCACGTTCATATCGTGGGACATTTGAACAAGAAGCCATTCGAGTGTTCCCTCTGCAAATACAAATCAAATTGGAGATGGGATATAACCAAGCACATTAAATTGAAGTCTGCGCGGGATCCTGAACATAACGAAGCTAAGGTACTCATGACCGACGAAACAGGACGTCGCAACTACAGCAAATATAATAAATTCTTAGCGATGCCTGTTATGAATGAAAATGGAGAAAACGAGTTTCATTATTTGGATCCTAATACTGCAGTGGACAGCTCTATGGAAATAGATGAACCATTTAATGATATTTCGGACGCCATGAATGTACAATTTGAAATGCAACCACTAAACCTTCAAACTCAACATACTGATGAGAAATACGACTTTTTAGAAAATAGAGCCCTTGATGATGTAAAGAAACCTAAAAAAACATTATGGAAATGCAAAAAGTGCAACTACAAGTAAGTTATTGAGTAACAAATATATTTTTTATATATTCGATGGGCCGACGTTTGACCACTGTCTCGCCTGGTGGTAAGCGTTGATGCGGTCTACGATGGAGCAATATTTTTTTAATATTTCATTAAAATGATTGCATATAATCGTATGCATGTGAATTTACGAAATGTTTTCTTTTTGATTTCAGGGATCCCTCTAAAGAAGCTCTCTTGGAGCATGTTCGACAGCATTCCAGATCAGATGATGAACCGAAGCCAATGCCTAAGAAACTCGAGAACAATACTCCTGACCCAGCTGACCTGGCGTATCGTTGTGGCCATTGTAATCAGTTATCTAACTGGAAACACGTTATACAGGTACGTTTTATACCTAACATAGGTATTCCAAATCATTTTACTCCAATTATAAGGCGAAGGGAATCTCCCCGAAAAGGTAGGCATAGGTACACATTATGGCAATTAATGGCACTGTACAAAGTAGCACCCACTTTTCATGTTTTTCACCTTTATTTATGTTATGAGTCCCATGTGGCACCCCAATAGGGGGTGAGCCTATTGCCATATATCGGGCACATTTCCAGACTCCGTGCTACTACTGAGATTTAAAAAAAAAACAGTCATATTTTGCCCGAACCTGGAATCGAACCTGAGACCCCTTGTCTGGCAATCGCATTTGGGACCACACGGCCAACGAGACAGTCGGCAGGCAAATAAATAAGGTATGCGTGTTTTTGCTAATTGTAACAATTTCTATTTTCTATTTCCAGCGCCACTGCCGATTAAAGCATGATGGAGTGATAAAAGTTATAACAACAGTCAAACCAAAACCTGATCCACCGATGAACATCAACGAGATCAACATTGACACTTGCAACAAGTGTCCATACAGGACGAGTGACAAAAAGCTTCTCATCGCACATTTACAACAACACCAGCCCTCGGCCAGCTCCATTTTCAAGTGTTACTTCTGCCCATTCTTCGTAAAGGATGAACCTGAATTAATACAACATTTACTTCTTCACGGAATAACGGACCCAGAAGATTATATCGCAAAAGCCATGGGGACTAAATCTCCCGCACCAGAACCGCAGGCACCTGCAACTCAGTCGATGAGCCACACCAAACGTCACAAATGCACCGAGTGCCCGTATGAAACCAACAGCAAGTCACAGTACATGTATCATGAACAATTCCACCGGCTGCCAGCAGATACACCTTATAAATGCCCAGAATGCAACTACAGTGTATCCAAAAGACACCTGCTGCATCAGCACTTACGAGTTCACGGTATTGCAACTAAACGAATGGAATCTGAAGCCGAATTAGAAGCTTCAACGTCATCGCAAAATAAGTCAGACTCAAAAGCGGAGTACCATAATACTGTGGTCGAAATACCTTACGTTTGGGTTTCAGCCAAGAACGAGTTTCACAAAATGTACAAGTGCCGATACTGTTCATATGTAAATGCTATCAAATGTAAAATACCCAATCATGAAAAAATTCACTGCATCGTATTCGAAAATGATACAACTATTTACAAGTGCTTGGAGTGCAAATATACCTGTGATACTTCCGTTAGGCTGTCAGAACATTCCAAGTCCCATGGAGAAATATACGGTCGTATTTATTGCCCTGTTGAGGATGACGTGCCAGATGAAGAACAGATCTCAAAACTAAGGAAAGTTATAGAACTTGAGAAAATAACAAACCCGGAAACATGTTCCAGAGATGAATCCCCGACTGAAAACAGAGAAATCAAGTTTATATATTTTTGTCAAAAATGCCCAGCAAGATTCTTTGAAGAAGGAGAAATCGAAGCTCACGAAAAGGATCATGGTGAAACACATACATTCAAATGTAAGAGTTGCGATTTCTCACTTTCAGAAGAGGACGACTTAACGGTGCATACTATCGTTCACACAGATGAATATCACACGAAAACAAAGATGCTTAAGTTTATCCACAACACTCATCCTTCACACCGACAACCCGTATTGGAGCTCGTTCACTGCCCTAAAACCTCAACAATAACATGGATTGCCACTGGTCCTAGTAAACTTGAAACTGGCGAAATTCATATGAAAAAACAAAGTGAGACAAAAAGTACGCCAAGACAATACAGTTGTAACCAATGCCCTGCAAAATTCTTCAAAAATTCCGCTCTTGCATACCACATGGGCTTACATGGAGGAGAAGGAGAATACAAGTGTAAAAAATGTAACTATGCCGTAAAGAACATTGGTAATTTAGCCAAACATGAATTACTTCACGAAAACGAAAATAAGACAAGTTGTGATTATGAATCTGGCGAAGACATGGATTATAAGAACATTCCCTTGTCTGGCACTGATTTGTTCCAGAGAAAGACTGAGGCGCAGAAGAGAGTTTTAACAGATAAAGATAAATTAGTAAAACCTAATGATCATTTTCCACCTGTTCTGCAGGCTGATCCCCAATTCGGTTACTTAATGCATGGTAATCCTGAATTCATTTATCCAACGTACCTTAAGAATGGACGTCAAAAAGAAAAACGATATAAATGCCACAAATGCCCCTCCGCCTTTGAAAAAAGAGAGCAATATAAGATCCATTTATCATTACACGGCTCCAAACAAAGGTACAAATGTGAGCTATGTGATTATTCAGTTAAATATTATGCTAATTATGTGCAACATATGCGAAAACACCAAATGAACGATGAAGCCCAAGCTGAGAGAAAGAAAGGTAGCGACACGTTTATGGAATCTGAAAATCAAGATGTTAAGCAAGAAGATAGCAGTGACAATATTAAGCTTGCTATAAAAACTATGCCGAAGGGCGCTCCTAAGAGCGACTTCCAACAATTCTCAATTAGTGACCAGCAAACGTTACGGTTGCTGCAACGAAGACGGTCTATGCATAATTTTGGGAAAGATTTTAATGCATCAGACGCGTCGCCGACCAAAGAACGCAAAACGCACATGTGTTTATTATGTCCATACGCTAATCAGCGTCAAGATTCGTTAAATAATCATTACCGACGACATGATGACTCTGATGTTTCAAATGCAGGAGGCCATAAATGTCCTCATTGCGATCTAGCAGTTGTGCAGTCACATTTCCTTCGTGAACATCTGAAGACACACTTCAATTACCATAAAACGCTCACTCCCGAATGTTTTGTGGCTAATGAAGATGTTTCTTTCACTATCACCAAGTTGGATGATGATAGTAAAGCAGTTGATCTCAAAATAGACATACAAAACAAATGTTTTGTAAGTAATGATGAAAAGATATTTGTAAAAATTAAAACTGGAGAGTTACTAGTGGAATAAGTTTTATGATTAGGTCTGATAAGTGATTAAATTATACTTTAACCTACATAGATTAGAAATTGTTTACAACAATGTATAGTTTTAGATTAAGCCAAATGAATAATGTTTATGTTCACCAAAGCATAGCTTGCCATATTAGAATGTAACGATTCTGGCCATTTTGGTAATTCATTGGAACCATAAAGACTAAATTAAACAAAATTGAAATTGCTTTTAAATTTGCATTACTACAAAATGCCTAAATTGACAGTAAGTAAATCAAACTCGGTATCCAACTCTGTGGTCGCCTTCTGCCCCATTTAGGGGACATAAGGCAAATCAAACCTGAATGAGAGTTGCAGAGTGCTTTGAATTGTATTATACATTACATGATTTTAGAATTTATTGTTACCAGCAAAACGATTATGACACTTAGGGCAGATTTTTCAATTAACAGATAATTTTTGTTCTTAGAAAACACCTGACAGTTTCCATATGGAAAACCTGTTAGGAATTTAAAATTAATCCTACAATAAAATTATCTTGCATTGGAAAAATCAGGCCTAAGAGAACTGTTGGGTAATGGTACCTTAATAGTACTATTTTATTTAAGAAAGAAATTCTTTATCGAAATTTTGATTTCAGGTCAACTATGACACTTTTCATATCTTTGTACCCAACATGTGATTCTGAAATACAATAAAACTTTAATAATTGATTGTAAAACTTCAACATTTCTATGCATCAATAAAAAGCTAATTAGAAATACTGAATAGTAATTTATACTATAATTATGATTATGATAATGTGTAATCATAGTTTATATTAGTGCCAGTTTTATATACCTTAGGTACGTCCTAAAGGACACATTCCTGTTGTGCAAAATGTTTTATAAATATATGATTATTGAATAAGAAATGTAGTTTAAATACAATTTTCCTTATCCACTTAAAAATAGTGATCATGGTGAAATTAAATGCCAAGTTCACTTAAAGCAGATTCTTTTATTTATTTAAGTTTAAACTAAGATCACCTTACCTACTAAACATGATTTCAAACTCAATGACAGTAGTAAGGTGGTGTTAAAATAGCAAAAACAGAAACCATAATTCATCGTAAATGTAATATTATACTTGATACAGTACAGTATCTCATAAAGTAGGGTACACTAGTCACCTTAGGATGGTTAAAAGCAGTCTTAACAGAATTTCCAGCGATTCCCGCATTCATTACAAAGTACAAATGTAGTCATAGGTTCATCAGAACTTCTTGTCTGTAACTGGTTGTATGTACAGTTCTTCTTTTTGCATTTGCCACACTTAAGCATGTCAGTTTTTGTACCCTGTACTGTGGCTAACTGAGCATCATCAATAGCCTCCTTAATGAACTTCTCTCTCAGCTTCTTCATTTCATCACTGGCCATTTCCTCTGGAGTCATCTTGGCAAGACGGGAAGCTGAGATCACACCATTAAGAAAGTTTGTACGCAATGTCGGATTCTTTGGATCTTTCAGATTGGCTACTCTTGACCTTACCCTGTTTCTGTATCTCATGTCAGTATTCTTAAACTCAGCATAAATGCATTCCTCTAATTCTTCAGCAAGTTCCTCAGGGCTCCCACATGCGTTTGGGTTTTCACCATCAACTTTAAGAGCTTGTGTGAGAAGTTCCCTACACTTCAGCCTTACAGCATCAGTGGTATTGTTTTGAGGTGGAAATGAAGCCGGCAACTTCTTGTCTTTTTCCTTATCATCTTTTTTATCTTTATCTTTGCCTTCTTTTTTAGATTTTGAGGAGCTGCCATTATCTTTACCAGGAGTGCCTGGTGACAAGAACTTCTTCCAGTTTTTAATCAAAGTTTTACATAGAGATATCACTTCTTCATCCTTGCTGGATTTTCGAAGATTATTGACTGTCATACCTATTCTGGTTTTAGTCAACACATCCAGATTTATAGCCATGGTTTGTAAAGCTTTCAGCAGATCCAATGCTTCTTCCTGGCCCTAAAACAAACGACAGAGATTTTAGTTTACTCTGGAACTAGTTCCATATAGTAGTTGGGACTAGTCCCAAGAGAGCAACGAGCATGCATACCGTATCTACTGCTGTAAATAAAACAATATTACCTTCGAAAATCTATTACAAAATGTTTCGATAACACACATTTTGTTTATCACAAATATTTTACCACATTAGTGGCAGTTATTTCTAGATAATTTCCAGACTGAAAATGCATTTAGTTCCGATAATTTCATTCCTATAATAATAGACCTACCGTGCCATCCGCAGAAATCATTTTTGTCAATTTCTTTTGTATTTTCATAATATCCTCTTCGACACTCATTGTTAGTGAGTTTTATTGAAGACAACAGGTTCCCGCCTATATTCCGAAAACAAAAATATAGGAAAAATATTGATAAATCGACCACCACACGGAAAATGTAACTAAACCATAGACAATGAGACAGTTCGATTGAAGTCTGACGCAGTGTTGCAGTAATCAAAAAAATTATCGTAAACCGCCGCGTTCCAGTTCTATACTAATAAATTTTAAACATATTGGATGTAAATGTGTAAAAAAATACGAAACTTATGATAAACGTAGACATGTATATAAAAGTAGAAACTTTTTATTATATGTCCTAGAATCTTTGATTACTTTTTTAGGAAAACAGATAATTGCCGTGAGTTTTTAGAAATCTACCCATGCTAAATACTAATTCATAAATTTTTTCAGATTCCAAATGGAACGCCGAATTTTTTGGTATAGGCAACTTTTACATTTATAAAAAAAGAATTTTATTATATTATTATAATTTGAAACAAGACAACCAGTGCTATTGCGTTTCCATCCAGAATAAGCTTTTGAAAAAACCGACTTCTCTGTTTGTCAAGTTTATTTGATATAGTTGATCGGCATCGGCAATATGGACAAAATTTTTCCCGCCTTGTCAAAACCCCTTTTAAGGTTAGATTTTGATTTATAACGTTATATTAGTATTTTTTGTAATATAAGCATTAGTAAAATGAAAAACGTTAATAAAAAAAATACTTGAATATTGGATGCAAAATAATGTTAAACACCAAATAGATAAATTATCCAATAGGAAACCAACCAATATTATAGATTACCATAAACAATATTTTTTTTGTGACGCTAACGTTTCCCGCGAAAATTAAAAAAAAAAGTTTTCAATAATTTATTATTTAACTACACGTACGGTGTAAAACAACCAGATTTATTATGTATTATTATTTATAACAATGAAGCCTTACCTAGTATAAAAAAATAATTCGATAGGTAACTTTGTTATCCATAATAATGTGATTAATCTATTAGATTTGAATGACTGATTTGATGATTTTGATTTGATGACCTATGTAATCAGAGAGCAAATAAATAATAATGCTAACCGATTAAAACTATTGACCATCCGTTAACTAACACATCATCATCATCAACAGTCTATAAATGCCCACTGCTGAGCAAAGCCTCTTCTCACACGGAGAAGGTTAGAGCGTTAATCACCACGCTTGCTCAATGCAGGTTGGCGATTTCAAACTTATAATTAGAAATTATAAGTCCAGGTTTCCTCACGATGTTTTTCCTTCACCGTTTGTCAGTGGTGTCTAAATAATCTTAGAAAGTACATATAACTCGGAAAAAATCACATTGGTACTTGCCGCTGGTAGGTTTCGAACCCGCACCCTCATGCATAAGAAGTGGGCGTCTTAAACCTCCGGGCCACCACGACAACTAACACATAGGTATAGGTATGCTATTTTTTAATCCGACAACACGGGCGAAGCTACTGGCAGCAGCTAGTTTTATGTTTAGAGCACAGGTATTATTATGTTTTAAGACAGATAAAGGATACACGAACAAAAAGATTTTATTTCGTAAAATTTGTAGTAGATAGGGTACTGTAGTGTAGTTATGAATAAAAAAAGCTACTGTGGTGGCTCTAAATTGTAGGCTGCAGTGTGGTTCTTCCATATACTCAAATTGAATTTAATCTGTATTAAAAGTAATAGAATCTGGAGGACTCGTAACTCGAAACTGAACGTGTTTTAATGAAACCAGTTACCAGTCATGAAATAATGAAATTAATGTCGAGAAGTTCAGTAAGATGGCGCTGAAACCTAACATGTATTTATTAATGAGTCAAATTTTTGAAAGAATTTACAAACTCCGACACCTTGGTAATAATCATTTGAATTTAAAAATGTATTAAATGTTTTTTTTTTTAGTTTTACTGTCATACAAGTTCTTGTAGTAACAAATTGGCAAGGCCACACATTTTTAGAGAAGTATAAACTTTGTGGCTGACTCCCCCGTTGGGTCTGCGAGATTACTGGGAGGATGAGGATATGATTGACTGCTACGCGATACGAACTCCGAGCTATGACCTACGCTCTATGATCTCTGACTACGATCGACGCGCTACGATCTACAAGCTACGCAAATCGCGCTAGGATCTACGTGCTACACATAACGCGCTGTGGATAACGCACTACGACCTACGACCTACGCTACGTACGTACTACGCGGTACGTAGCTACTACGCGCTACGTACTACGAGTTCCGGCTGTTGTATTTTGCCGCAAAACTGATCAATCCCAATCGGTCACCGTTGACCGCTCTCCACTAACTCCATTTTAGACCTTATTTCCGATGTTTAGGTACTACTTTTGTATGAACAAATTTTGGGGATATCAGGGGGCTTACTCTTGAATCCAATTCCGATCGATCGACATTGGTATTGTGAAATTTCGTACTCTTGAATTTCAACCACTAGCGCCCATTGCATCCGTATTGCGTGGATATTGAAGGAACTAAATGGTTGAACTGAGTTTGGATTTATATTCCATACTCTGAATGCTATTTTAACAGCTTGACATTGGATAAATATTGAGATTTTATTGGAATAAAATTGCATTAATATTGACATTGGTTTCAAGAATAAGCACCCTGGTGATTGGGTACGAATTAAGCGTAAAATTAAGATTTTTAGAGTTAGGGACATTCGGGTTAGAAACTTTGCTTTATATGAGGTCTGGTTACTCTGACCATATGCTATATGGTGCCGTATTGGTCGGCCACACTGTCGCTTTCCACCAGGCAAGATGGTGGCTAAACGTCAACCTATAAAGTATTATAAAAAAAATGGTAACATTATACTAGAGGTTTTTTTTGTAGGATCAATTTTTAAGGGACTTATATACACACGCAAAGTGCATAAAGAACCTATAACATATTCAATAAGAACGAAGCTGGGAGCTCCAGCGCTCCGTAATGACATTGGTCGTACCTATCATGCTATCGTTAATAAGGCGCGCAGTACACTAACTAAGTACCTAGTTATAATTGTAACGGCTTATATACCCCTATGATGATGCAAGGGAATTAACCTATTATGACACATCATCTCTTTGTTTACGATCCTGCATTTGTCCCAAGTACAAAAAGTCTTTGTTTTTTACATTATTTTCCTGAACACTTTAGATTGCAGTAGGTACAGGAAATTGCATTTGCGTTACAATTAAACTATGATGAAAAGACTAGGTACCTACTTTATAACTTACTCATTCACTTTTATTCTAAAGGAAAAACGCGTGTCAGAATTCTAAGAGAATATTCGCTTATTCATAAAACAATTACGAAAACAATTATTAATGTAGATATAGGTAGGTATACCTAATATAATAATTCTTTGAGTGAACGCATTACTTAGTCAATTTTTACTCATGGTCTTTATCTCAAGTACCATACCTAGGTACGTCGCGTCATAGGTACTTAATTTCCACCATAAGGTAAAACTACAAAATATAATAAGTAAGGTAATTAGATTACATCCGATCATATAATTTCGTTACGTAAATTTTAAATTATTTTCCGGCAGCTGGAACAAGATTTTGAATGATAAACCCGAAAGGTGTACCGGTGAATCACGAATCATCCCACTTTGCATACAGCAACCCATGAAAGTCCATTACTGGACCCCTATTTTATATCTAGGTCTACTGTCTACTCCACAGTTCTACCTTATAAAATAGGGGTTTGCTACAGACAGCCTAAAACTTAAGCAAGTGCATTGGCGATCGCAGTTTAAAAAGCTTTGTGCATATATATTCCGCATAGTATCTACCTATAACATCACATAGTCCGTTGTTTGAATATACACTTAAATTCTATGAGTTTCATAAAAAAACACCTCATATAACTATACTAGTTAAGTGTCATCACGAATTCACAATGACACGACAGACGCCTTGTAACTTTGTCAATAAATAAATAAACTGAGGTGAGTAAGATAGTTCAAACAGTCATACCACGCGTGATTTGTGATGAGTTTATCACAACTTTTCTTTTTTATTTAGTTTATTTTTTAATTTTCTTATCTTTTGGTGTTGAGTTTCCAAATAAACAAAACAATATAACATGTTTTTGTAGACTAAGCTTACAATGTGTATTTCGTATATCTTCGAAACGAGGGTAAAGCCAAAGATACACTAGGGGACAAAAATATCCAGCGACACGTATCGTCAGCGACATCTGGTGAAGTAACGCGACATCGGGTGAAGTAGCACGACATCGGGTGAAGTAGCGTGACGTTGCCGGACTTTGGTTGACATGTCTGGCAAAATTTGTCCATGTTGCACGACATATGTCCCCTAGTGTATCCTTGGGTTCGGAGTTGCGGAGAACCTAACGGGTTACCGGGGCTCCGGCTCGACGTGCAGGAGAAGGAACGGAGGTGGTTTTAGTCAGTAAGAGAGTGTCAGACACTCCCTCCCGCGTCACCCAAGCGGGAGAAAGCATTCAATGATTTTCCCCCCTTAAAAAAAAGTGTATCCTTGGGTTTAGGTATCTTATGAATCTGAAGTTAACAATAAACATTGTTGGGTCACGAGCAAAGCTCCAGGCTTAAAGCTAGTTATTGGTTACTGTCGCGGAGAACCTAACGGGTTACCGGAGCTACGGCTCGAAGTGCAGGAGAAGAAATGAGGTGGTTTTTAGTCAACGTAAGAATCTGAAACTTACTCCCTCCCGCCTCACCCAGGCGGGAGCAGTAATTCGATGATTTTCCCCCTTAAAAAAAAAATATTGTTTACTAATGTAGGTATATTATGATAAAAGTAATTTTCTGTTATTTTCTGGCTTTTCGAAAAAATCTGGCTGTCCTCATATTGTTACCAACCTACAGATAGTGATCCTTTCTTGAAATTATACTTACGTACAAAACTATAAACAGTATCACTTTTATGTAGATTTGGTTCAAAAACTGATAGTCATTCCTTAAACGTATTGTTATGAATGAGTTAACTTTATAATAAAGATTGTCATGCTATTTTCGTCACAAGTTTACTGAGTACCAAATCAGTAGCCCATGTTAAATCAGTGCCATTTATAAATTTCAATGATAATTGGTTACAACATCGGAGAACTACTCAATAATGCTGTCTATGAACCTGTAAACATCTCGCGTATTTTATTTCAATTATTCAGGTGCGTTTTACGCAGGGATGTACCCATGTAACTTAGTCATCCATTAAAAATATCCAAGCTTGCAACGTGCTCGCAACCCAATCGGGAATCAAAAGTTTGTGGGATGGGGGCAGGGCAATTATCTAATTACTTCCCTCACCCGGGAGAGGTGAAAGGGTAATTCGAGCCGTAACTCGGCAACTTTTTAAGACCTCCACGGCTTCTCGTTGAGACGCGTCATATGCTCTGGTCTATTCTGATCTGGCGGCGAGATATCCTTGCTCGCCTACCGCAGGCCTGTGCTTTCGGTGGCCGGAGATCGTCTCGCGATCCCCGATGCCCGGAGTAACTCCCGCGACGGCTGGGACGTGAGGAGGTTCGATACCTCACACAGCCACCTCCTCCTTAGCTAGCATAACTGCTTCGCAGAAGAAGGAAACGGCGGTGGTGCTCAGCTCACGCGCAGGGCACACCTCCACCGTATGCTTCTCCGTGTCCTCCGTGTGGTCCTCACAGTGATGACACCCGGGCGATTGCTCCCGCCCAATCAGAAATAGAGAATCAGAGGCTTGCTGTAACATTTATGACAGGTGGTTCTTCTCTTACAATATCTTCTGATTGGCGGACTTGTCTCACTAAAAATAAGGTAAAACAAATGCCTATTACTGAATCATTTAATTTATATAATCGTAGCATCAGCTTCAAACATCATTAAGCTATTATGAAACGTTATGTTTTTTTTCTAAACAAGGACAATACTACATCTACTTATGTTACATAGAGAAACAGGAATCCTTAGATGCGGGTTTTATCTTCATCTGTAATTTATTATTCGTTCTGAATTTGAGGAAAATATCAAGGAAACTTGTATAACAACTTATTTACGAAAGAGAGACATAAGTCTAATAAATTAATTTTATCCAAACGTGTCATGACATTGTACCAAAGAATATTAATTTTAATGTAAAAATTGTAATTTTATTAATTTAATTTGTATTTAGTAAGACGTATTCACAAACCAGGGTTTGTGTTATTAGTTTTAGATGAACCTGTCAAAGAATAAACAGACAGATGCGGTTTTGTTTCATAATAAATAAAAGCAACTGGTTTTGTATAAGAGGTCCTTACTTAACATAACGATTAATAAAAACACTTATTGCATCGACCATCACGATTGCTATTTACTTCAAAAAAAATGTAAATTCTGTAATAAGCAGAATATTAAAGCTAGTTATGAAAGTGTGTTTCCATTTTTATTTTAATTCGTTGTGTGGTATAAATCGAAAGATTTTAATCTTATTTATTTTTTGTAAATTATAAAATAATACTTATATGATTTTCTAAGTACCTAATACATTTTTAACTATCTTCCAACCTTTCAGATGACAATTTAATCAAGTCATAGATTTAGAAATGAACTTTTTAATCCTAACCAAGTGGGTAATATTAAAAAAAGTAATTTGTAAATACATTAGACTTACGTGCTTTAGTTTGATCCGCATACCCAGTAAACTATTGTAGTGTTTAATCGTGCAAGTCAGTGATGATTTTGTAAAAAAACGCAAGTAATGACATAGACAGAGTCACCATCTGTCGTTTATTCTTTGGCCTTCTGCCCTTCCATACGGACTGTGGTTGCGTTACCTATATAACTTGCAAGTGACCAAGTTTGCTGTTTGTAACCGTTCACACACTAGCCGAAGCACGCGGCGCGCGATTTCAAACAAATCAAAAGGTAATAAAATAATATTTACTTGCATTTCAACTCATAACAATCATAACTAGTGTTTATTGTTTAATAATCAAATATTTCCGTTAAAAAGTTAACTTAGTGTCTATGTCAACAAAGTGTACATGCAATAGTAATAAATAAATAATTTAATGTCATTTTTAAATAGTTAGAATTTTATTTATGAATTCTTGTCTATGTCGAAATAGTGTTTCGGAATCTGTGGTCGAATTATAAATACAAAATTAATGACCGTCATATATTTCATTATTGTGATCATTAATTTTATTTCAATCGGCAATGAAGTAAACAATATAAATAAAATGTAGGTGATTGTATAATTCAATGATAAAATATTTTATATTATATCTTATCGAAATGCGGAACAACCTTTCATTAATTTTAAAAGGATAGGTATTTCATTTGTTGCATTTAAATCTTGTAAGCTTTTACCTGCAATCTATCTATAAACCATAAACGTAGGTAATTTTTACATTACTTTTTTAACCATAAATATCTTGTATCTTTCAAATACACAATAAAAATACGCGATATTCCGGTGAAAATTAATTTAATTTGACTAACATTTAAGACCATTGTTCAAATTGTAGATTAATTAAGTTGCTTTTAAAACTTACGTCTCGGAAATGAATTGCTTGAAGATTGATTGAGTTGATACACCGTAACAAACAAACAAACGAACATTCGCATTTTCAATATGAAGTTGGAATTACTTTATGATAACTGAGCAACAGATATTTGTAAATTAACATTGCTTTAAAAGTTCTATTGGTAGGTCCCATTCACAATATGCAAATATGTCCGATCGATGCATTTACTGTCAGTATTTAACCTAGGCCTTCTAGCTTATGCAGCAATGGGTCAGACGTAAGCTCTAATTGGATGAAGTTGCATTACCTTTGTCTATGTCCATTGCTACTGGCTGACCTGACCTTTTTTTAATCTGTGTTACCAAGCAATCAGGTTTGATGTCTCTTTCTAATCGCATCTTGAATTTATTGGGTTTTATTGAATTAAAAGCTATTGGGAAATGTTAATTATGGAAATGTTAATTATTGAAACTTTTGGGAGTTATGTTTATTGGTATAGATTGCTTTAAATTTTGTTTGAGTAATCTGCAAGGATTAGTCCCAAGTTGCTTGATCAAACTTTTAAAGTTCATTAAAGTTTAATTTTAATTTCCTCAGAGCTAGAGTTCTAAATCTAACTTCGAACATTCTTAAAATCATAAGTTCAATAATTAAAATTCATATTTAATAGAGACAAGAACACAAATTGATAAATATTTTTTATGTAATGTTTACATTTCGAAAATTTCTTAACGTCTCAAAATCAGAAACCGGATTGAACTGGTAGCATAGCATAGTATTATGAAAACTTGGTTGGAGCAATACCTTCAAGACGTAATATATGCAACAGCTTTATCACATACTTCCCATATTGAAATAAGGTTGCAAGACTATTTACTTTACAATCGTAAAATACATAACAAAGCGCGAACGGAACTGTTGTTTTTGGTCACATTTAACTAAATGTTGTCAAGCGTTCGCCGGCAAAGTTTGTCGATCGTTAAGTTACGTCATCATATTTGTGGAGAACCTGTCCTCGAGACTCGAATCTTTGCAAGAGCTTGAGTTCTGAAGAACCGAAAGGACCCTGACCTGCTTTCGTTTGCTTTGCATTTATTTCGACTTAGCATCGGATTCTACGACGTTCTGTGTCTATTATCTCCGCACATCAATCATAGAGCTTAATGATTTATGCATCTATTCAAAATTATACTTTTTCAATGAAAAACTTAATTTAAGCAAAGCATCGTCCTTACTTGAATCGATTAACTTGAACTCTTGATTGAGACCTTTCAAATGGCGCCCATTTTTTGTTAAGATGCATGCATCGATCAAGGATTATACGAGTTGATGAATGCATACAATCAATTTTGTTTATTTTGAAGACCAACTAAAAATAAGTAATGCAAGTTTGTCGAAAAAACATTCGGTGGCTTTGTACTGGCACGTAATATTCCCATTTTGTTCATCAAATCATTTAAATTAATAAAGAACATTCTAAATGAAACTTTTTCATTCATTATGATCTATGATGTCTGAAGCTTAACAAACCGGCACAAATTTACCGTTGCTTCTACATTAATTAAATCATTTTTAAACTTTGTTAAACATTATTTAAGTCCCAAATTCTACCAATATATTCTTAGATAGGATATTACAATAAGCTTAATTTTACAGAAACAATCAACATGTTGGCATCATACGTAGTCCTTGCTGCATCCCTGGTGGTGGCCGCCAATGCCTACTCCAGTGGAGCTCCCGAGAGCGTCTGCGGTGACATGGTACCTAAGCACCCGGTGCCACGCCAGTCCTCCCCACCACCATACAAAATCACTACTAGCACCCAGGTACGTAAGAAGGAACATATTTGGAACACTGAAAATGAAATTAAATAGTAAAATTAATTGATTAGTCGTAAAGAGGTTGTAAACAGGCCATAAGTTATATGTAATGACTGTTCACATACAATAAAACTGTAGTTCGTACGGGTTCGAGCCCCGATCCCAAGCAAAGTTTTTGCCAAAGTTCTTTGATAATAGCGGATGATAGCGCATGATAGCGACAATAAAATTCCAGGATTGGGTTGGGATTTAAGCTCGCCTACATTGAAAATAACATAACTGGTATATTGGTTCTTAGGCCAAGATCAAAGCGAATTATTAGTAAACAAATCATAAAAGTAAGATGGGCATACAGTTCTCTGTATCTAACAGAAGACACAGAAAATACGAGTACTTTGAAGCCTAAATTAAAAGTAACTATAATTTTTGTTGATTTCTTTATTTTGAGTTTATTTTCATTCGCTAGTTTAGTTGTAGTTAATTTTAGTTTTAAATATTCGTTTAGTTATACATGTTCGATAACTTGAATAAATAAAATTAGTTTAATGATAGTTAATTCATTATTTTTGAAAATAAATCTCAATTTTTACTATCACATGTCTGTGGAAGCATTCCGTGTACCCCCAGTACGGTAAGAAAGTCAGTAAGAGTCTGACACTCCCTCCCCGCCTCACCCAGGCGGGAGCAGTCATTCGATGATTTTCCCCCCTTAAAAAAAAAAATAAAAAGTACGGTAAGAAATGGTGCGGAAGTGTGTTTACTTGCAGAATAGATGAGATGATGTAATATCTTATATCTCATCTAACGTTAAGGTTTGTTTATAAACATTTCACATCGATTTTGACCAAAGTAATAAGGTACCTTTAGCTTAAATGATTTGATTTCAATAACAGGCCTAATGTTATTCCCCGTGTGTACATATGTATTAGTTTTCCTCGTATTCAAATCTTGTGACACACTCTAAACACTTTTGAACACTCTACAACTTATTTACTTTGCTTAAACCAATACTTGTATTTCTTTATACAATTGTAAAGTGCATATAAGTTTATAGAACCAGGTATAAATACATAGATCCAAGTGTCCCCAAGTTGAAAGGCGGCTGACGTCCCGACTGCTCTTTCTGATAATGTGAATTTATTGATTTACACCCCTGAATAGACGTACCTACCTCACTTAGCGCACTTTCATAGCTCTGCTGAAGTAAAAGCTTTCATTTTTCAGTAGACATAAGTAATACATTGATTTTATTAATTTAATTTGAGCCGATGTCTTTGTATGCTCATGTTCAGTACCTCTGTATGTACATAGATATATCACAGATATAGTGATCAATACTTTCCAAAAACACACGAACGTGGGAAAAGAAAAAAGAAAATATAAGTACCAACCTACAATTATAAATAAGTAGGATAATTATTTTTTCCGCATGCTATTAATTTCCTACCCTGGTATAGAAATAATGAAGGAAAAAATGCTATGAAAATGGGGCTTCCTCACTTATAATTCCTCAACTATAATTAGGAAAGTTTGTGTGTTTGTGTGTATGTTTGTATGTTTGTCACTCAATCACGTAAAAACGGCCGAAGGGATTAGGTTAATATTTGGAACAGGGATAGATTACGGTATGGAATAACCCATGGGCAGAAGCTAGCGACCTAGTATAAAATAAAAAAAAAAATTAAGTACTAGCTACTACCGCGCGGTTTCACACGCTCTGCTCAGCTCATATTGGTCGTAGCGTGATGTTTGTAGCCTATAGCCATCCTCGATATATGCGCTATCCAACACAAAAATAATTATTCATATCAGACTTGTAGTTACGGAGATTAGCGCGTTCAAACAATCAAATAAAAAAACAAACTTTTCAGCTTTATAGAGGTATAATAGTTAGTATAAGATAAGTGCGACTACTCAACTAAACATTTTCTCAATGACAACGATTGCAAAAACATTGTTATATAGAATAGTACGTAAATATATAAGTAGAAAATAAGTGTAATATTTGTACACCGATCCGGTACAATGTATGAGACATTAATTAAGATAAAACACCTATTGTAACTACATTCTGACGAATAAATTTTTCATTCTTTGTTTCAAAATATAGATATTTAACGGCCGGTACAAGGTCACTTAAAATTTTGATCCTATTCACTAAACCGATCAATCGCAAAAAGCTCATTTACTTACTAGTTTTTACCACTTAAGTAGATAGCTAGGTACCTACTTACAAAAACTACGAGTTCTTATCTATGTTTAGAAATCATTGAGGATAAAAATTCTTATGTGGCTTTGACTATTACATGTAACGTACATACATAACTATTATGGGCGAATACTCTTTGGCTCAACCCAAAGGAGTCAAGGAACCCAGAGGACGCTCTGCTAACTAAACTAGTGAAAACATAACATATACATCACACATTATGCCACTGTACAATGTAACACCCACTTTGCACT